CAGGCATTATATTTGCATCAGTGACTTATCTATCAAAAAGTAGGCAAAATGCTTTGGAGCATTTTTTAGATCTCATAGAAATGTGTAGAGGGATTGGCAAGGGTGGAAGCAATAGGACAAGATCTTGTTTTATAATTTTGCTGACTTAAAAGACCACAGGTCATTCTTTCCCAACTAGGGATGATGGGCATTGTAGTTCAACACATCTGGATAGTACCAGGTTGGGGAAGTCTGTCATAAGGCCTCCAAATATTTCTTTTGTGGTTTCTTTCTTTGTTTCTCAGTGATTAGGTCTTAGGTTCCTTGGTTAATTGGGTTGCTTTATTCTAGTTATAGTTTTTGGCTGCTGTTATTTCTTTTTCTCCTTCTGCTCTGTTTTAAAGCCCTGCCTGCATTATACAATTAGTTTTTGAGGTCAGCTAGCTTTTTCAGTTGCCTACTGCCACAACAGCTTCTTTCACTGAAGTTGGAGGAATCAGTTATGATCATTTTTAAAGAGGGAAATATGACTGTGGTGACAATGCCTTGTCATTCCATGATGATGCTTTACTGTGAACCATCTCCAATATCACCTTTATATATGAAAAGCAGTTTAAATAACTAAGCCTGTTCAGATGATACTTAAATATGACCATGGTTGATTCCAACAAAGAGCCTTCATGGAGGAATGATGGAGAAAACCTGACAGTTTGTGACTTTTGTATTTTACAGAACAATATTTTCTAGATCAGTAGCTTTTCATCTCATGTTTCTAGGAACATTGGAGCTCCTTAAGAAGTTATTAAGGTTCTTTAAGGAGAAGATTAGTAATGGCAGATTCATTGCCAGACTTCCCTCAAAATGGAGAGTTCCATGGGAAATGGTGCTATAATTTGTGATCTTAGTTCATGTAAGCCAAGCAGGTATGATGCGGCACAGATTCAAAAACACATCCTATTTTGGGCCGCAGAAATTGATATGGTATGTAGGGGTTTTTGTGTCAGGTATGCAGATAAAAGTAAAAACATGTAGAGACTGTGCGAACTTCTCTCAAAGTACAGCATTCCAAAATTGTTACCGCCAGTTCTGGATATGAACTGGAAGAAAAGGTGGTGTCAGAACTCTTAGCTGAAAATCCAAGGCCATCAAGCCTCGAGATAAATCAAGTGTCGTGTGCACACACAAGGAAAAGTGGCCAGAAGGGCTGTGGTCTGTTGATAGATTTGATGGGGATGAGAGTTCAGACACTGAAGACAAAGCAGTTTTGGAATGTCAAGGCCAGGGAATGTCTGCAGATGAAGCACTGTTGTCCCATTTGGGTGTGGATGGCAACCAACCATCCCATGGGAAAGAAGAGAGAGCCCAGCAAGGGGTGGAACAGGGGGTGGAAGATGACAAGAGCTCCAATCTGCCCATGGAAGAACAGGAGGTAGTCTTAGGGGCTACCCAGGGCGTGCACCAAGAGTGGAATAGTCTGACAAATGTAGAGGCCCCTCCTCCTGAAGGGGTGTTGCTGGTTGCCAGGAGGCCACACGGGTAGGAGATTCAGTTGTTCGAGCTACCAGAGGGACGGAAACACAAGAGGAAATTCAGTGCTCTACCACTGAGCCAGCGATGGAGAAAGTCTCTAAAACAAGATGAAGATTAAAAGCAGGGAAGGGTCAGAGGGTTCAACACATTATTCTGGGTGAACTCCGGGATGTTTGACAGTAAGGATAAACATCCTTAACAATAAAGCATTCTGAAAAGGAACTCTGAAGTAGCATTTTTCTTGGAAGAAGGACCATGCCTCACAACACCAAGCAACTAGTGAGAAACACATCACCAGCCTGGTTCATGAGGAGTCAGTGCTGAACAAGGAGGGATATAACTTATACCTTCTCTCTGTCTCACATGCAGCAGAAACTTCCCTGAGCTAACCCCATTTGGTTGGGAAGAGAGGAAAGGGATTCCGTTTGGAATCAACTTCTTGGCCTGAGTGGTAAACTCTATCTAATTAGCTCACTCTGAAGTTGACGTATGTGTTTTGCTAAAGACCTCTGAAATACCATATTTTTCCGTGTATAAGACTATACTTTTTCTTTAAAATATTTATCTAAAAATGGAGGGGCATCTTATACATGGGGGGGCCAAGAGGAGAACCGCAGGCACACTTGGGAGGTGGGGGAGACCGGTGCAATCGTGGGCGCGGGCACGCTCAGGGGAGAGGTGGGCACGGGCTTGCTTCTGGGGGAGGCGGCAGGCGCGCGCAGCAGCAGCTTGCTCACTCGGAGATTGGTAAGAAAAGTGGGGGACATCCTATACATGGGGGCATCTTATAGACGGAAAAATATGGTACTCCTTTTGTATCAGAAAACCACCCTGGCTGTCCACTTTAACATAATAAAGGCAATAGTTAAGATTCTTCTTGTTTTTGACCTGCCTGGAAGGAGAAAGTGGGTGCAGATCCACTCCTGACCGAATAGAACCCATGGGATAGAAAGTTCAAAGACAACTGATGTTAATGTTCAAAATGTTTGCAAGGACCATGGAAAATCACTGAAATTCTTCAGTTGAAACATGGAAGTTAGTGAACAGAGAGGACTATATGCTTTAAATATGCAAATAGGATTCCATTCCAGTTCTCCACAGACTTCTCCACAGAAGTCTTGGAATTCAGGAAAGATTTTTCAGTGGTGTACTTATAACCAGAAACTGTTTCCAGATAGGCGTGGTAGGGCTTGAAACTCTAAAAGCGATGAAAGAGAGAACAGTCAAAATGTGCGATGTTAATAAAAGATCTGTTGTGCTGTGAGCTCTGCGGTATGAACGTTAAATGTACTTCTTACACTAGTGCTTATAACTTACAACACACTGGTACAAGTTTAAAGCTGTGGGATTAAATGACTTGTTTTAGTTCACAGTGGGTGGGATTATTTAAGAGAACAATGCCAATTTATTATTGCTAGCTAGGTGGCTTAAACTCAGCTAGTAGAATGGAACTTGCATAATTATGGATTTATCAAACCTTTGATCTGTTGCATTAGATCCCGTTTCTGTTCTTCATTGAGGTGGGGTGGTTTCTGCAGGAGTGGGCAGTATATCTGCTCCTTCTTTAAGAAAACAGGGCTTAAATGAAAGACTTGATACACCTCTCTGAGCAATTGGTATTTCACAGGTTTTTCTTTCCTGATGGGACATAGGTAAACACGTGGACTCATGATGTGAGGCATTCTATGAGTTCTGAAACATACTGGCCTTTTTAATCATGTGAAACTGAAACAAAGATGGTGGCCACATTCACATGGCACACTGAGCTACCCTGAGAATAAGCTATTCAGTGTGGGTTGTTCGCAAAACAACTAACAGTGTGCCTAACAAATGATTGAGCTCATGGTGGCTTGTTCCCTATTTCCTTCTCCTTTGGTCCTCCAGCCAGTATCTCAATGTCCTTTATTCTACTGTTATCACACTGGCAGAACCTGTTGTGTCTCCCCCTTCCTCCTCTGATTGCCAGTTTTTTTTTGTCTGCAATCATATTTTTGGAAGCTTAAAAAAACACACAGTTGGGATCACTTTACAATAGCCTTCCCCAACCTAGTGGCCTGCAGAGGCATTTGGACCACAACTCCCAGAATTCCCATCCAGCAGGGCCATTGACTGGGAATTCTGAGTGTTGCAGTCCAAACATGTCTGGAAGCCACAAGGTTGGGGAAGGCTGCTTTAAAATGTTTCGATCCTGAACATTGTGCAACTGTGTTCATTTGATGATGATGATGATGATGATGATGATGATGTTTGACACATTTTTGCAGGTGTACATGTGCACACTTATGACAGCCCGATATGTGTAGCCTTGGTATGTCAATGGCCTTGTAAGCTGCAGTTGTCAAAGGGACTAAGTGCAGTAGCATACATGAAACATATGCTAATTTGTACACAATGGCCAACTTCGAATTGCCTAGCTGTCAACTGAAAAATAAAGGGTAAAAAAGTGAAAATATGCTAGTAATGTAATCCTCTGGTTTATGAGTGCTGAACTGACACTTACCTCATTTTAGCACTTCTCTGAATTGCCAGCCAGGCAAGTTCACAGCTGGCAACTGTGTGCATATTGGCCTATATGCAGTCTCACCTTATAGATCTATTACCTATGTCATTTCTATTTGAAAACTGAAACTTACAGAGTAAGACTACTTGTATTGGACATTCACTCATGTGCATTTGTGCAAAAGACCAACCCAAAAGAGTGGCAAAATCAAAAAGGAGTGACTATTACTCCAAATTGCTGCTTGTGTATTAGTGAAGGTGCGTATTGGTGGAAGAGCTGAAACTGGTGGTGGCTTGGGAAAGATTATGAGGAAGGGTAGAGGAGGGTAGCTGCTCTTGCCAAGTGGCTCACTAGCCTGTTCCTGTAATTCACAATGAAATTGCTGTGCTGGGTTCAGATGTCACAACAAGCTATTGTGGATTGACGATCCATTAAAAAAAGGGGGGGGGGTTATCAGGATGGCTTGTTGCCTTATGGGAAGTCATCTAGGTCAATGGGTGTCATGCGAACCCACTTTGTGCCCACTTTCTGGCCTAAATAAGATCCTGTGTAGACATTACAATCACTTTATGGAGTCAGCTTGTAATGGGCTCTGTAAGGTGGCTGTTCTCTATGGTAGCCATAATATGTTTGGTCCTATTGTGTGAAAACCTTCCATGCCACCAGATCAGTACATATGGTGAGCCACTAGTGCATTATGGAGGGCATTGTCTCATGTAGAAAATGTTCCAAGTAGGTTTCAATTGTTTCTTTCCTAGTGAATAGAAATAATTTCAAACCATATTTCAAAGTGTTTTTTAAACATAGAAATGAAATATTTACTTTTCCTAAAAATATAACATTGAATTCAATAAAGGTGTGTTGTATTTCTCTCTTGATATCACTGGAAAGACCAGAGTTCATGCTTCTGATGTCAGTCTGTAGAATAACCAGAGTGTAATAACCTCTCAAGCAATGTTCTTCATTTCATGTTTTTATTTTGTTTGAACAGGGTCTACTTTATGTAGCTATGAACTAAAGCCATCTGAATACACTACTGATTCAAGGGCTGATAAGCTTTGCCCCAAGCTCCCAGTTCCAGAGAGGTAAACACATTACTTTATTATTTTTCTTGTGTGTATTTGGTAATATAAGGTTAAATGACTTGGTGACTATATTGTCAATTCAGCATGGCTTTTTAGGGTATTTTTATAGGAGTTCCCTCTAATATAATTCCTTAAAGCTCCTATTCTACATTTCATTTGCTTTACAAACCAACATGCCATTAAACAAGTATTATGTTGATCTTGTTGCTACCACTTAGCCTGGAATTCAGTGGCTAAGCAGCTTGGGGTTCTGTTTTGTGCATGTGCATGTGATTTTGTCAGTTGTGATTTTTTTCCTGTATTTCACTAAGTGACACCTGCTTGATTGGTTTTTGTCTGTACCCTAACATCTTGTTCTGAATTTTCTATATTTTCCCAATGTAAAACTGGAATCACAATTATCCAAATATGTCCCCTTTTGTACCCATTGGTTAACACTTCAAGCTAATTTAGAAACAATTGACACTTTAAATTGCTTGGCTGTAATATTTTCTCAAAAATAAATGAAAAATGCATTGTTTTATGAGCTTGCCTAAAAACCATATATATTCAAAACTGAAGAAATTAACCACTTATTCAGTCCAAACATTAAGATCATTAATTTCTGATCATATCTCTGTTTCTAATACCAGAATCTTTTAAAGCTTTGGATTGTTAAATTTATTATCACTTTACTTTCATTCAAGTTTCTTCTCCTCATTAGTGCAGAAATGTGCTACAGGTCAAGTTGATAAATCTTTTATATATCTTGAGAGCTGTATGACTCCATGCTCGTTATAATTTTAATTCGTTGACTTCAATTTCATTTTCCCCTCTGGTGTCAGCATCAAGGCAGCATCATTTGATGAAAGTTTACCAATATCTGTAGCACATGCTCAAATTGCTCACCCTCCCCCACTCTTCACATGACCAGGCCTTAGAACCCTATGTTTAGATTAAATCCATAAATCAATGGGAGATGAAGTTCCTCATTTAACTCTTTGAAGTCACCTCTTGTTGGGCCAATTTGTACTTGGATTTCAATTTAAATAGTGTTAAATTTTGCAAATTCACCATGAACAGGAAGTTAAGGAAATTCCACAATTTCTGCTAATGTTTGTCTAATCAAAACGGATTAATTCATCAATAAAATAGTAATTGGTTGTATTATCTTTTTATCTCCCAATTTCAATATAGTGGCATAAATAGAGGAGAAGAGATGAAAGTAAGATTTTTGAAAAATTAATAGATGCTCCTGATTCAAGATGGATGCTAAGCTTTAAACAATGACAAATATTTGCCCTCCCAGCTAAAACTTGGATTTCCTTAAATGGTGGGAGTTTTTAGCTGAAATTGTATTTCAAGCTTGCTTCCGCTAAACTGAGGGCCAGAAACATCAAAGATGAGGTTTCATTGAAAGAAAGAAATAAGTGGATATTGAAGGTGACCTATACAATTTGCAAAATGTTGTAGTCATATAGTAAATCCCTAGATGCCTTAATTAATCAACTAGAGTTTTTGAGGGGAAAGATAGAATTTGATACTGTTGTGAAAATTACCAAAAGATAGAATTCTGCTCTCATTTCTGAGATTTCTCTTTATGACTTAGGTAGCGATGGGTGAACTTACTCTAAGGAATTGTAATTTGTTTGTCAAGTTACAAATTCATCCAGTCTGGGATAAAAGTTATCCATTATTCCAATATCTCGTTATAATATATATATTCAAATTGTTGCACATTTGCATCAACAGAGAACTTTTGGAACTGTAGTTTCACATCACACTAAGCATCATGACATTGGTATGGAGCTGGTGCGAGCAGTTGTGGTGTGAGTGAGTGGCTTTGGCATAAGCAGTTCAAGTAGGAGCTGTGGAAGAGGCACTTCCATTTGCTAAAGGCCAGATCTCCCTCTGGCTTGCCAGCAGCTGCAGACTGCACCACTTCTCTCTTGAGATTCTCCTCCTTGGATTCCCTCACAGTGCAACCCAGTAGTGCCCAGGTCTAAAGGAAACATTTACTTAGTAAACAAGAAAAAAATCTGTCCTGTACTAGAGAAAAGACATCCGTTGACAAGCTGGATGCAGAGGAAAAGCTAAGTAAGTCACAATTAAAAAGCCATGAGTTAAACAAGAGCTGAATATTAACCTACATCATTGTTTCTTTAGATGCCATAGACAAATGTTTACATTGGTTGGTTTGGAGAACACCCACAACCATGAACTTGTTAAGTTTTATATTTCTCTTCCAAAGTAACGAGTTAAACCAGCAAACATTCAGACAAATGTAATAATGATGGAGTTTAGATGCTTTCCCCCTGCAGATTGTTTAGGCACTAGTAGTCAATCTCAGTTTGTATAACAAAAATACTACAGCTTGATTCACATCCAAGCTTGCTACACATATGGACATGAAGAATTTATTAAAAACATAATACATTGTACATAGAAAACCTCCCTCCTGATTTTGAGTTTTGGCAGCATCCCGAGGTTTAGCTCATAACGTCTGTTTAGTCAATATAAATGCAAGAACCATACATGCTGAGGCTTCTTAGCAGTTCTGCTGAATCATGTGCATCACTGAATCTCTTCTTCTGCTCCAGTTTTTTCTGCTAGATTCTGCCAGGTATGTGTTCTTTCATAGCCTTTTTTGATGGAAGAGTCTCTCCTGAAAGGTTAAATGGACATAGGGGAAATATTTCATTCCTCAGGCTTCTTTCTATTTTGTAGGCACATGCAATAGATTCTTTTAAATACTCTTGTTTTGATCGTCAGACATTTTAGAGCTTAAACATAAAGGTCTGGTTGTGTGTTTGTATGTGTATCTGATATTATTTTAATTTTTTTCATTCAGACATGCATGCATCATGCACATGCCTGCCTGTATCTAGATATTTATCGATGACTTGGTTCACATATAATTCCATTTCATAGGTTAAGCAACCCATTAAATGGCAGAGTGGCATGAAAGTGAGCAACAAGGATGCTGCTTCCCACTAACTACTGCTGCTTTATTCAGCAACCCAGAAATGCCCCATTTCTGACTTGTCAGTCATGATGTCAGAATCTGGCACTTAGGGTTTGAAGGTTAAATATCACAGACTTAGCCAACAACAAACCATGGGTTCAAGTTTCACACTGTTTACTCCTCAACAACTCAATGCATGATTTCTGGGTGTTTGGCAAAGCAGAAGCTGTGTGTGCAGGAGGGAGCACACTTATTTGTTTGCACTTGACTCCAAGGATCTATTGTTTAAACTAACCCTGGGTTGTCATTACATGTGATATGAGTCAATATCTTGCTATTTACTTTAGAATCACCCACTCCCATACTAAGTTATGATCATTATTAAACAAAGGATTATACTTGACAGGAATTGCAATTCCATTAAGAAATGTAATATCCCTGGATATAATCAACAGCCATTAATAAAAGAACAGAGGGTCACTTTGAATAAGGTTATTAACTTGCTTCTTATTAAAGAAGGGGCAGTGTATCTCACACCTACCTGAGTCAGAACTACAGAAATAGAAATTAGACTCATGTGCTGGATTCTCAAGAGCCCCATTTATTCCAAGACATCATGTAGTAACCACTGACCTCATTTTTTATTCATTATAGCAAAGGTAGATTCTGTCTATTGCACATAAAACCAGGTAATTTCAGATGTGTTGGATAATCACTCTTCAACAAAAGGGAGTTCAGTGAAATAATAACTGAATATACTAAAATTGGGTAGCGTGAGTACAAAATGATGGGTGAGTTTAAAACAAACTGTTTTCCAGGTTGTGTTGCATCTAGAAGGCGCTCTGGCCAGGATCTGAAATGCTGTGAAATTAGTTCATTCAGCCCAAAGTGCCCTTGGAGTTTTGTTTGCTGAAACAACAGCTAAGCCCTCCTGTACTCCATGGCAGACTGGAGGACATTTTGAAAGGGATTTGTGATATGGCATAGAGAAAAGGGCAGCTATTCAAGGAAAATCAGCCCTTTTTAACCAATTCTTTTGATCAGACATACAGAATCTTTTTGACATTGGAGAAAAGATTCCCTTTTAGCAGCCCCAGTGTTGGCTGGATGATAATAGGGTGTATGGCCCTGTCCAGTGTGAAGTCTGGATGTGGGCCTCTCCCTTGACTTCAGTGACTTTTTTCACTCCATTGTCTGGCAGATAATCGCCCCCCCCCCATTTTCTCAATACCTGGTTTGTTTGTTTCTCTTCACCTTTGCCTGCTTCATCCCTATATCCCAAATGTCTTTTTGAAGTCATAGTATTGGTATTAGTGTTGCTTTTTAAAGCCACTATCACCCATTGCCCCTGTAGCCTAGTGAAATAATCCATGGGCAAGCTATATCTCTGGATTCACACATCATGACAGCCCATGACTTAACCCATGGATTAACACAAAGAGTTCACAAGCAGACAATTATAGGTTCTTTTTCTTTGCTGTCTGTGGTAAATGAACTATGGTTTATTAGTGCAGCTGGGTTTGCACAACATGACATCTCAGAACACCATTTAAGTGGTGTTGTTAGTTAAGAGTTCTGAGGCACAGGCCATGACATATATTTATATATGTTAGAACCTGTTAAAAAGTGTATTTGTAGATCAAATTTATTTATGCTGTAGCAACTGGAAAAATATCAGTGAAATAAAAAGTTCCTCAAAGCATGTGCAGAATGCTTGTCTCTCACCACTGAGCAGTTATAGGCTCCCCTTTCAGCATATATAGTAATCTATCCTACACAGATTAAAGCCTCAGTATTCCTGCTTTAGAGATTAAATACTGACTGATCTTGTTGCAAAAAAAAAAAAAAAAGACAACTGGATCATACACATTCTGTTCCCTCCATACACCAATCTCTCCTCCTTTTTTTCCCACAACTCTTCTCTACCTCCTATTTATTATGTGTGAACATGTATTTTCTTTTCCTCCCCATAACTTACTTTGGGTCAGGACTTCACCACAATTCAAACAAGGGGGTGGTTTTAGGTGATAAAACACACATAGCATTGGTCTGAAAGAGTAGCCAAGTAAGTGGAGCAGAATGGTGTAGGCAGTTTATTAAGCCTGTGGCACCACACTCACAATTCAATATTAATTTCAGAGTTAATATGCAGACTACAAACTTTTCCACAGAAGTGTCAAAAAGTGCAAGAAAAGACTACAAAACTTTCCATGGAAATCCAGTGTAAACTTTACTGTGGGTAAGCCCTGTTGAACGTAATTGGAGTTACTTCTGTGTAGAAATGAATAGGATTGAACATGAGCAGTATTTATCCCCACCTCCACATGCACAAAATAACTCATTTTAATTAAATCTTATCATTTTATTGCTAGATAATGACATCTAGCTAATACAATAGTCTTAGTTTCTTTCCTCTCCAACCATGTGTATCCACTTTTCTCAAAGAGTTAAGTAAGAAAGAAAAAAATCCCCTCTTATCTGTTTATATACAGCCAAATACAGTTCAGAACTTCACTTTCCCACTGATCTCTCCTCTTGAGAATTCTTCAAATCTTGCTGTGGATGGAATAAAGATGAAAAAGAAAGACTAGGGGAGAGAGGGGGAAGAAGAAGGAAGAAAACAAAAAGAACAGGATTTGGGAACATAGAGAGGAAAGAGATAATTCTGTAGGTCAAGTGGATCCTTTCAAAGGGGTGGCACTTTGGAGAACTTTGTAAGGTTGGGGGATTGTATATCCCGTAATTGATTTTCTGAAGTGAGGCAGCTGAGGGTTTTGCTTGCTGTTTTTAAACTGTAAAGCATATTTAAAAGCCGTATCTGCTGATAGTGCTGTAAGGCGCTTTACACACAAGCCTCTGAGCACTTCCTGGAACCCAACATCACACCTAATCCTTTTTGCTATGATTTGCTGCCTGCAGCAGGGTGGGATAAATTAAAGATGGATGAGGAAAGAAGTCTGTGGAGGCTAATTAAATCCTTTGCTGTGCTGAAGGCATTTAGCTTCTGCAGAAGCCAAAAATCCCAGTTTGGACCAGTAAATTCTGATGCTGTATGAAATTCACAGGGACCTCTTCCTGCCTTCTCCTCCCTCTTCACATTCTCGTTGCAATCAAGCTCCCAGCAGGGGACATGTAAGAATTAACCTGTGGTGGGGGTGGGCAGAGAGCAAGAGAGAATGAGAGAGTGAGAAAGAGAGGGAAAGGTGGCAGTGTCTTCCAAAGCTGCTGTCTTCATTCTGTACCTCCTACTGGCCTGCCAAGAGCATGAGTATAATGTCTCCTAATCAGTGAAAGGCTAGAGAGCTCAGAAGGAAGAGGGAAGCTTGTATTAAGGTTGACAATGTCAAAAGAGTCAGGTCATGTACCCATGAGTGCCTTTCTAAAACAGCATTTACGATCCACTCCCTGTTTGTCTTAGCTTTCCTAAATTTGGCAAGCAAGACAGCAGGAACTTCTTCAGAAGAACCTAGAAGTTAAAATAAAACTCCATTTTACTCCATATGAAAGAGTGGTTCTATTCATTGTGTGCAAGTTAGGATTAAAAATAAACTGGCTAGACAGTCTGCTATAAATTTTGGGGGGCAGCGATGCAGCTGCCTACTGAACAACAATGGGGGGAAATAACATGGCAGGAAGTTGCAGTTAAATGAGTGGGATTTAATTCCATATAACATATGGGTGATCTGAGTCTGGGGTATTCTCAAAAATATTTGAGGTAGAGAAGTTGAAATAATACTTTGAAAGCAAAACAGTAAAAAAAAGTTTAAAACTGGCACCAATTCTATACTTAACTAAAGTATAAGGCAGTCCACTGTCAAAAGAAAATATTTGTCATGATTATTAGAAAGAAGTTATGTTTTGATACCCACGTTCAGTTACAGACTATTTTTGGCATTCCTGAACACTCCTGATTGCTGGTACTTTTTTTTGCTACAGATTTTTGCACTTTTCTATTGGTGAAAGTATTTCTGAAGCTACCATGCGTTAAGCTTTGATTGTATGGCTGGACTAGGGCTCCTTTTCCACCTCATCTCCATGTCCTCCCTCACTCCCCCAATATGCTTGTGAATATTGGGGTACCCTACAACATCATTTAGTATTGCATGGGGGGGCTGTAGCTTGAAGGCTCATCCTATTCTGCTGCATGTAAAATGACTTTTTGGATCCTGGCATGTACGTGCAAAACACTCCTCACTCCCTTCTGCCATGCTGCAGTCTTTAAGGTGAGCAGACTCTTATCGGTCACATCTATAAGTTACAGAAATCTCTCAAGAGGCTTGACACAGCCTGAGTACTTTCTGAAAATGCTTGAAAACCAATTTGTTATACATAACTATGTCTAACTCTGCACACAGTGAACTAGTTGAGGATTGTTTACTTTTTAATTTTGGGGTGGTGAGTTTCGTTTTACCTTTTGAGATGATGGGGTGGGAAAGATCAGATTGTGCACTCCACCCTCTTCTGGACATATCTGGGATATTAAGAATTACATCATGACCCATTACAGTCATCCTCATTTAGAGCAACACTTTTACATTAATCTCGCAGCTCCTGGTTAGAGTGTTTATGAGGGTGGAGTGCACTGCATCAATTCACCTTCCATTTGTGTGTTGATGTGGCATTTATATTACATAGGAGTAATTTTTTTTCTGATTTTTTTTCTTGTATCACCAGTGCACCTATTCCATTCTTCCATCGCTGTGCTCCTGTGAACATTTCCTGCTATGCCAAGTTTGCAGAGGCCCTGATCACCTTTGTCAGTGACAGTAGTGTCTTGCACAGGCTGATTAGTGGAGTAATGACCTGCAGAGAGATTATATTGGGACTTTGCTTGTTATCACTAGGTAATTGTTTTTCTCATTCTTAGCAATTTCTACAGTATTGCATTAGCAGAATGTGAACATTCTGTCCCCACAATATGAAAATAAAGCATGTTTAGTATTAACTATTATAGGAGACTATTCCAAAATATGTTTCCTATCCAGCAGCTGAGTTAAATGTTCTTTAAACGTTTATTGCATTGACTTTCCTTATGTTTAACTACTGTGGGGATTTTGGCTAATTCAGTCTCACTGCCACTGAACCCTCTGGCTCCCTCTGAAACAATCTCCAGACCCCCATGTACACAATTCATAAACATTGTATTTAGGCTTTTGAATGCACTTTATCATTTAATTCAAACCAGGTGAACATGGTGAACATAGATGTTTGAATGGTGATATCTTCAGGGATCTGGCTTAACAGTAGGTTAAAGCTACCATTAGTTGTTGGAAGGAAAGGGCCCAGCTTAAATAGCCTTAAATAGCCTTAAATAGAAATATGTGTGCTTTAGTTGTTAGCCTTGCCAGCTCAAATCTGGTTTGATTATGCAGTATGAAAATGGAGCAAAATGAAAAGGCCATGTTTCATGGACATTTTCATACATACCAAAATGACCACTTCTGGCTTTTCAGTGAAGTTTCAGGGGACACTTGAAGAAGTCCAAACAAAATCAATTCAGTGAAGTAAACTGGAAGCATCAGTCCAGATTGTATCATAATGTGTACAGAGACATGCATTCAAGTGTAAATGCTATTTGTCTGCACCAGATTGCTTTCATTCTGATCATAGTAAGGACAGTGTAAGCTTGTTGGCCTTCAGAGATATCACCATCTTCCTTAATATGCTGGGATTATATTATGAAATAAGAAATTCTGTTTAAAGATGTAAAGATTGTGCCAAAACAGCAACAGATTGGGGCAACAATGGCTGCAAAGAGGTGTCAAAATAGCAGAAAGGATGGCCAAAGGAGGGGAAGAATTATTCATATGTGTCTGTATGGCCTCATCTGTAGTTCACTTTTTGCCTCACATATTCAGAAGCAGTAATTCAGTTTAATTAAAATTGAACTTTACTGATTGATCAACTCATCTGTCAATCAGATTGATTAAAATTGTAGCCCTAGTTAAAATTTTGAGCAGAGTTGATTGTTAAAATACAATAAGATCATAAATAAGAAATAAATAGGATCAGAAATGAGAGCCAGCTCTTCTCTCCCTTACATTGCTATATATCAAATATGGGAAGCCAGGGAAAACTGATTATTTTAATTTTTAATGAAAAGGCATTTACATTAGATGGGCTTGTTACTGCATGCACATACATAGAAGTTTGGATATCAATTAACCTTCAGCTTAATTCTTTGTCAAAACTTCCCATAATACTTTAAAACTCCTAATTATCAATACTAACTTCCATTAAAATATATACTGATTAGATTATAGTAGAGAAAATGGAGCATGCCACTGATTAAAAATGAAAACTAAGCTACCTAAGTAGCACAACCATGTATTTTTTAAACCAGTAACTGTGTTGCTGATACTTGCAATATTTTGGACATCACCTTGCTCTACATGTGTATAGCAGATACACACCTACTTTAAATCTGTTAGTTTCTATCTAATATAAAAAACAACCAAGTTCCACCCAGGACAGTGTAGTTGGTAGCAGGTAGCTTTTGTGTGATGCCATTACGATAACGGCTGACAAATGAAAAGTTGAGACTTTAAGCTCCAAAATAATGAAGAACTAGACATGTACAATATTAACAGCAGCATGATCTCATTAAATGACCTATCTTGGAAAGAGCAGCTGAAACAAAAAGTAGTGTGTGGTTCTTATCACAATCTGAACATCCAAATTCATACTTGTCATTATAATTGTGCTTGTCGAGCATGTGTGGCTGCATGCAACTTTTTGGATTGTGCTCATCATGAGTTGTGCAGTACTTTTGCAACTCATGATAATAAACTTGTAATTCTACCATACCATGTTTGTTCTCTCATTGTATATACCCACATCTCTTGAGTTCAATACGTGTATATCATGGTGTATAAATGTCCATATAGGGTTCTTTTGTTTAATTAGCAAATCAGAAAATGAATAGAATAGCAGCTTATAGTACATATTTTTATGGAAGGAGTTGATAGTGAATGCAAATATATTACTAATGTGCAGTTACACTTCTTTGTTATTTCTGCTTTAAATAATTGCCCTGCTTATTCTCTTTTGTTTGTCTGCAGTGCTTTCTATGATTATGATGGTGATAATCAGATATATTTCAAGAGTGCTTGTTTGGATCTTAACAATTCTTGTTGTTCTGGGATCACTTGGTAAGCAGATGAAGCTAATCTAGTCTCTTGGATGCTCTGTGTTTGTACATATGTGTGAGTGTAAAATATTTGTTCTACCTGCTTTCCCCTCATACCTTGGAAACGTTTGACCATTTTGTTGTGGAAGTACATTTTTATTTCACATATGTTCTCAAAGCATTGAATGGGAATTGTCTTTCTCTCTGCTCTGTGAAAGCTGAAATAGATTAGAAAAAGTCTTCCATATGATGATTTAGGCTTCCAGAATCATATAGTCCTGAAAAAATTGTAAAGGGAAGGGAACATTATCTTTTGTTCTGTTTTAAAACTGGTCTGGTTATGGTTTGGTTATATTGGTCCTAGCATTCAGGGCATCTCCAGATGGCAGTCCAATCTAGGCATTGTACGTACTGCAGACGTCAGCATTCCAATGACATGTTGACTTTCTTTAACCTACACTGGGTCAGTCAAGGCCATCATGTTCTGAGTTTCACCACAAACTATATTGATAGTAGATTTGATAGTATTCACAGGGGAACATAATGGCCTGGCTTCTGCAGATCCAATTCCCAAAGACAAAGGTCCCCAGCCCTCTGGTGAATAGAATTTTCAGTAGCATACAGATCTCTCCCCAGAGCTCTCATTTGCACTGCACTCAAATGCAACAGCCCCTGCTCTGCTTCCACATGTGGTCACCCCTCTGGCTGCAGGCCCATGCCTTTCCAGCTTTGCAAAGGTGACTCGACATGCTAGCCTGATGCATAAAAATGCAGGCAGGTCTTTAAAGAAAGTAAGAAATATTCTAAGCATCTGGAGAGACCTCTGCTGTTTCGTACCTTTTTCTTATCCCAGGATCAATGAACAAACTCACTCTTCTCTCCAAAGCCCACTGTAGGACATTTGGTGGCAAGGTGAGGCTGAGATTTGTGAGGATGGCCCAAGTCTGATGCTGAATTGCTCAAAATATTTCAGCTGCTTTGTGTGCACATTTGTGCAAACTTATTCCAAGTATTCTGCTCTCCATGTCAAATGTAACATCTAAACCATGTCTTTATTTTGTGGATCAAGAATGGTTCATTCAGTGCTGTTGGTTCCTGCTTGCCCATTTGTTTGACAATAATTGATTGGAGTGGATTAAGCCTGCAAAGGCTAAAGTTATGCTTCATGCTAGTAAAGAGAGACACTGAAAGAGACCAGAGGGAACTCCGCCTTCCCTGGAACATGCTTGTATCCTTAAAAAATCTTAATCTTCTACTTTGGAAACAATTGATTTGCAGCCACTGTTACACTGAGAACTATTAAAGCTAAGCCCTTGGGAAGAATATCAATTCAGTCATTATCAAGGTTGAAAGATTTATTAGGACAGAGCCAATTATCAGAAACCAAATAAAGAGAGTCAAAGCAATGGCAATGTTTATTCTGAAGGATGACTTCACATTAATGAATTCAGGGACTGATAGTTCATAGAATATAAAAGTACAAAAGTAGCAGGGAAAAAGTGATGGAAGATAAAATTTCAGAAGTTATATTGATTGACCCTTTTCTAATTATGCTGATGCACTGCAGGAGAAAAGCTTAGTGACGCCTTGCACTTATAGTAATTTCAGTATGAAGTCCTTGTTAAAAATGATTGTGGAAAGGAAGAAGGATCCTTCATGGAAGAAAATCTGGGGAGTGGCAGCTTTCTGCCCAAAATAGCCATTTACTTCTAACCTGTTATAGTAGTGGGAGTGAAATAACCTCCTACCTCAGGAACCCTGAGCATGTTGACTTCAATATAGATGTTATTAATATAATTGTTGGGTCATGTTTCCCAATTTCTAAAACAGGGGAGGCAATATGGTACCCATGGAAACATTTGGAAATCTGAAATCTGAGCAGCTGTCCTGGGCACAACCATGAAATGGCTGCCATGGGTGGGTATGAATAGTCACAAGTAATGTAACCATGGTTCAGTGACAACCTGCATTCAACATAACCTTGGGTGCAGCTTGTCATGTTGTGTGAATCCAGTCAATTTAGCTGCTTCATACAATATTCTGTAACCCACTTTTGCTGCGGTTGCTTAGTCTCTTCTGATTATGCAACAGGAATGTATTTTCAAAGCTTCAGGTAAAAGCGAGTCCTATTGGATCAGTTATCTGTTGGGCAATCAAGAGTACCATTATGTTGTCACCCTTGGTGTTGCAACAGATCAGCTTCACCTGAGTTTGGGAAAACTGTCTAAACTGTGTTCCTTAAGAATCATTATGAGTATGTTTTGATACTGGGAATGCACTATATCTTTTCTGTGTGAGCACAGGTGGCACAGTAGTTTTGTGGTGGCTGTATGCTAAACAGAGGAAGGCTCCCTCTGACACTCTTACTATTGATCAGCTCCAAATAGCCAAAGACAATCGCCAGGCCCTCCTGATCTATGCCATTGCAGCTACAGTCTTCACCGTAAGTATTTAATAGCTATTGAGCTGGGCCTTCTGTATTTATGAAGCACGCTTACGTAAGGGAAAAAAATATACTGCACTGAGTTGATCTTAGTACATGTGCATTCATTAGGAAACAGCTGCAAATCACAGCTTTCTGAGATCTGGTGTGGTTAGTGTTGGACTGGGACTTGGAAGATCTGGGTTCTGGTCCCCTTTCAGCCATAAGGTTCACTGTGTGAACAGTGACCAGTCACAAACTTTCAACCTAATCTCCCTCACTTGCCCAGCTGTGCCACTGATATATGCAGGAGCACGACCAGGGGGGAAATCCCCTTTTAAAGGAAAATTAGAACTTTGATAATATGGTAGCAACCTCCATAGTTGTACCCCCAAAATGAAGTGGCAAGTGGGAGCTTCAAAATAGGCCAGAGCTGCCTGCATGCAACCCCAATTTTCCTACATTTTCTCTGTTTCTGGTGCTGTTCATCCTAGAAATATTATATTATCTATAACAGAAATGGTTAAGTAGTTACCGATATGGAATTCATTGTACCATTTCATTAATTTGAAAAGCATTTAAAAACAATTATAATGGTAATAACATCTTATGGGGCAATGTTATCACAGCCACTCAGTAACATAACTGTGCTTCTCAAGACATTTTTGCTTGTTAGGAATATTATTTGGCATGCTAATTGATACCAGTTTTAAAAATATTTTGTTCAGCCAAGCCAGTTCAGTTTCATATGTTATTTAGGCATCAGACTGTGAGAGAAGGCAAGAACTTTGCCAGAGGCCTGAGAAAGTTTGAAGCCCAGTTTAGAGGTTGTTTTCTGATTGTACCTTTAACATGTAATGCATGAATGAGAGAAAACATGTGCCATACATATATAGCCATCAAGAGCCAGGAATGACTGCAGTTCCCTTTTAGGCATAGGTTTGATTCATGCATGATAACTGCCTTTATTCATGCATGATAACCCTTAAAAAAAGGGCCAGTGTACTAGTCCCTTATGCTCGATTGTTTCCACTTGATTCCTCCTGCCAGCAGGAGCAGCTAACAACACAGGGGGAGGTCAGGCAGCATTTATGAGCATGCCATTCATGACAAGTGAACCCTCCCAGTGTGACTTTATACTGAATACCCAACTTATAAAAGCTGTGACTTGGGGGCGTATTTTAGGTGTTTTTTTTAGTCTGCTTCAGTTGATACAATTCCTGTAAAATATAATGGGGAATCTCCATCTGTCTCCAGGTTATCTTACTGTTGATAATGTTAGTTATGCGCAAACGAGTAGCTCTCACCATTGCCTTGTTCCATGTGGCTGGCAAGGTCTTCATTCACCTGCCACTACTCGTCTTCCAGCCATTTTGGACGTTTTTTGCCCTCATACTCTTCTGGATTTATTGGATAACAGTCCTGCTCTTCCTAGGTACTACAGGTATGTCCTACATGATTTTATATTTTTTGTAATCTCTTTAAAGTTCTCCTTTGCTTATTGAATTAAATTAATTATAGTAAGCTTAATTGAGCACTTACTTTAAATAACTGAAAACAAAAACACACACGGAGGCAGTTGCTTTGGAAGCCATCCACAGTCTGCTCAATCTGATTGAACTAGAGTTCCAGAACTGGTCTATATGAATGTTTAAGGACAATCACTGGGAATTCCCACTGCAGGAAAAGTGTTAGAAAATCTAGAATATGATAGATAATTTGTTTACCAGGTTCTGCTTAGTGGGGTATTTCAATTTCTCAGTCCAACTCAAAATGCTGGTTTTAATCTTTAAGGCCATGAACAGTCTTGGGGCTGGAATACCTGAGGGATCTTGTCCACCCATGAATGCCTACTCAACCTACCAGATCAGGGTGGAAGACTTGTGGCCCTCCAAGTCTTGTTTTGGCCTACTGCACCAATCCTTCCTAGCCAGTGTAACCAGTAATTAGAAATTAGGGCAGTTCAGGGCCAAAATATCTGGGAGCCACAAGTTGTCCACTCCTACCTCACATCAACAGCAGAAGCCCTCTCTGTATTCCCCCCATTATTTAAGACTCAGCAAGTCATTACTGGAAAGAGACTTTCCCCACTGCCGCTGGCATCACTTTATGAAGAGAAGGCTCTACTTTTGCACATTAAAGGCTGTTTATAGCCTGACTATGTTCTCTGTGTGACAATTTTTTACTAGGATCTGGTTTGTTGTAATACTTTTACTGAAAGTTGTTGATCTTTCTTAAAGACAGAAAGCAGTATATACATATTGTTATTCATGTGTAAATAAATACATGCAGCAAACATGATTGCCACAGCATGGTGTGCTGCTCTAAAAATATAATAGCCAATGCAAATACTTAAACAGCTGTTTTCATGCAGAGTGGATATTTTAAATGTCCGTCCGTCCCTCCTTTCCTCCTTCCTTTTGTTCTTTCTTTAGGTAGCCCGGTCCAAAATGAACAGGGCTTTGTAGAGTTCCGAGTTGCAGGCCCCCTGAAGTACATGTGGTGGTATCACGTTGTGGGGTTAGTTTGGATCAGTGAATTTATCCTTGCCTGTCAACAGATGACTGTAGCAGGAGCTGTTGTGACATATTATTTTACAAGGTGAGAGATTTGGGGGCACTGTAATTATGAGAGACTTGCTTTCTAGGACTCAAACGTATCTGGACAGGGGCAGATGCTGTGATGAGATGAGAAGATGAAACTGAAAAGCAAAACCACAGCTAATGTGTTTTGGCTGGCTTTGAACTGTGCTTGGTACTTGGTGTACTCGCTGCATTGCAGTTTCACATGACACAACAACCCACTGTGGATAACTAGCCATAGTGCGTTATTGTGCCATCTGAAATCAAACTGCTCCTTGCAGAGTTTGGGGGGCAACAACTACCCTGACAGCCCATGGCTTGTTTTAGGATTCGTTTGTACCATAATGTGTAGGTATGTTGTCCAAACCCACGAAAGCATTTTATTGTGGGTTGCAGGAGTTAACCTAGAAGTGATGCAGGAAGAACAGCAAAACAAAAGCAAAAGCCTGTCACTCTTTGCAATCTTGCCTGCACCATCACACTGATACCACCTCCACCGGTGATCAGTTTGCAACTTTTTTTTTTGTACTAGACCTAGAAAATGGTGGTGGTGATGGTGGTGGGTCTTTTGCAAGTGTACACATATGGTTGCCCAGTAAGAGGAGTCTTGCATGGTTAATTTCCTTACATGGTTCAGCTGTCAAAGGAAGCAGCACAGAGGACTAGATAACATAAACAGAAATTGACACAGAGAGGTTACATATTAGACACATTTGTGCCAGAGGTGCATTGCCTAGCTCTCAATTGAAAATCACCCGTGAAGGGGAGAAAGCAGCAAAAGCAGGTGCCCCAAAATCGGGGTGAACAATATTACCCCCTTACCAATATAATTAGCTCATTTTAATTGCTGTACTGATAGCTCCCAGTGCCCTTAACCTTCCAACTTTCCCTGAGTGTTGTTCCCTGAGCAGTTACTGCAGGTGTGGAAATTTACCCTCCTGTTAATTTGCAGCCCTAACTTGGCCCTTAAAATAAGTTACTGTGTTAGTCATATATTGTGTCAGACTATTGAGTGCAGCTCCACCATAAATTAGAGGGTCAGGGAACAAAAGTTGCTATCATGTAAAGGAGTTCCGGGCTAGGAGCCCTAGCCTGAGTAAGTAGCAGCTTGGATTGTTTATCTCTTGCACTGAGTGTTTGGGACAGACTGCAGATGCTATTAGTGTACTGCCCAGCAACCAGCATCAACCTTACGGTGTGGTGTGGTTTTATCATTGTTATATTTCTAAATGTAATACTGTTAGTTCATAGTTTTATAATATATCTTGCAACCCAGCCTGAGAGCCATTTTGGCTAAGGGAACGAGATAAAAAATCAATCAATCAATCAATCAGTCTCCCTCCTTGAGCTAGCACAGGTAGCCTTGGTATTGAAGATACCCAGGATGTCTCATCCAGGGGATTTCAGCATCTTCAACTCTCTTCCTGGTTTCTTCATGAATTTAGGGATCTTCCGGTGTCACCAGAAAGGAGATGTATTCTGTTTTTGACACTTGTGAAAGCACTATGTGTCACCTGTGGCATCTTCTGCATTCTCTGAAATTCCTACATAATTCCAGCATAATGCGTTATGCTGCTCATGCAAGTGAACTACTCCCAAGTGAATGAAGTGGACGAAAGGAACATCCTAAGCCCCTGGGGCCACCTGGATTTCGAGTTATGCATTGGCATGTTTTCATTTCTGTCGTATTCCTTAGTCTTCTCTCTCTTGAAATGTTCACAGGCCTGTCTGTAAATAAACATTTTTGCATTTTCTATACTGTCATCTTTCATGAACATTTTGGGAGTCATCTAGAATAACTGCATAATTATATAAAGCATTAAGAAAGGAATGCAACTGTTTCTGAAATGAGGGAAGGAGCAAAGAACAAAAATATGGGATAAATCCATATGAGATGTTTGGTCCTTAGCTGAAAACTGGTATCCAGTTTGCAGGGCTTTTTAAACTCATATATAATAGTGGTGAAAATTGAAATGAAATTATTTGTTTTTCACTTAATCTGTAACTGTTTTAGCCTAGTAGTATATTTGCAGTGATTCCCTGATGTCTTTGGTGCTGACAGCTAGCCAAGACATTCATTCCTGAATCATAATGCAATTAAAATAATTAACCTGAACCTTTTTTTAAACAGATGTCATTATAACAGGGATCAGTGGTTCTTTTTTGTTTGAGGCCTGAATATCTTGGACATGAGCGTCAATGTGGTGTGATGATTAGAGTGTTGGACTGGGGAGCAGATGGATGAAGGTTCTAGTCCTCACTTGGCCAAGAAGCTTTGGGCCAGTCACTCACTCAGCATAACCTACCTGTCAGGGTTGTTATGAGGATAAAATAGAGCTATATAACCCACCTCGAGTTCCTCACAAAAGGATCGGGATATAAATGCAGTGTAATAATGATAATATTGTCTCAATGTTTATGATTTGCAAACTAATAACAAATTTGCAAACTGTCTACTGGAGCCTCTAAAATCAATTAAAATTCTCCATTTGGGACATTGAGGTACATGAATTAGAACAAACCAGTTCTTCATGTCAAATAATATCTAAGATTTTAATTGCAATCCTACGTGTAACAGCAGACACTTCTGAAGCGAATGAGTCAATATTTACCTTGTGCTGCAGCAGTCAATATTTTTGAAAAAGCTTGCAGGACTGCTGCAGACATAACTATTTCAGCTTGTTAAATGTTGGTTTATTTTTCTGAAGACAAGCAGCAACCACATACCTACCCCCTTGCCCATCCCCTTCTCCCCTTTTTATTCATTTTTAAATTTATAAGCCTCTGAAGAACACAACAGGGCTTTCTAAGTGGACTCTCTAATCCCTGTGATGGCTCTCACAGTTTCTTGAAACATCTGAACTGGGAATCTGTGGCTTAATTTCAGTTTACCAACCAGGATCTGAATTCCTGGTTTCAGGTCATGATCAGTAAACCAAAGCAGGGGGAAAGTGTGTGAGCCTGAAGCTCAGGTTTGGCTGAATATGCCGATATAGCTAATATCAGAACCATCCCACACTGTTTAAAAACCAATTGCAGTGATCTTTGTCTTTTTTTTGTGATATGTAAACAGATTTGATCTTCTTCCTCCATTTTGTCTGCCAAATCACATCCACATAGGTCTTTGTGAAAGGATAACTGTATTCTACTAATGAAGCAAAGCTTCAAAGCCATTGCTTAGCTAGTAGGGTCTACCAAGATGTGATATATACAGGCTCATGACTGCACAAGGAAATGCATTTAACCAGTTTACAGTGTAATAAGTAACACGTATTACTGGGTAATTTTGCTTCCTTAATCATGAATAGCTGTATCAGCTATTGGATTATACTTTTCATTGGCCCCAGCCAGAAAGAGCTTCAGAGATTATGCGTATTGTTGCCCATCTCTCGCCAGGACGTCTTGGAAACAGGAATCTCAATGAGTTGTGCACAAAGGCAGAGTGTTTGCAGGACCTGTGTGCCCCCACAGATTCTACATCTAGGATTGTTCACAACTTCAGATTTCACCTAAGTAAGGCTGTTGCTAAATAATTCTGCCTGTCAGGCAGTATGTTATCACTGTTCATATTTTTGCATTTTTCCCTACAGAGAAAAAAGGAATCTGCCATTTACACCTATCCTAGCATCTGTCAATCGCTTGATCTGTTACCACCTAGGAACTGTGGCGAAAGGTTCTTTCATTATTACCTTAGTGAAGATTCCACGGATGATACTCATGTATATTCATACCCAAGTCAAAGGAAAAGTAAGGGGAAACTTTGCTGTTTAAGTGAATGTCTTTTGTGGAACTGATAAAAGAGAAATTTAATAGACAATAAGATAAGCCCTGCTGGAGGTCTGTTGCCCTGTTTCTCACTGTGGCCAACTAGATGCTTCTAGGAAATGCACAGCCAGGTTTTGTGGGCAGCAGCCCTTTCCAATCCCAGTAACTAATATTCACAGGCTTCCTATCTGATCTGAGACATTGTACACAGCCATCAGGACCACAATAGCTTGATCTTCTATCAATCTGTCATTCAGTTACAAAATTGAATTGTGGGAAAGTACACAAAAAAGCACACTAAAAAACACATTTTTTCCCTTAGAAAAATAAGCTTTCTCAGGCCCAAATGACAGAAGTTACTGTTTGGGCTGGGGATTATTGTGAGTAGAGGGCACACAATAATAAGACTGTGATAGAGAAAGGACTATTTTGGTTGATTTAACCTCAAGCTTTTAAGTTGCAATTTGTCTTTAGCATTTAAATTGCTGGGAGCCATAAGACTCTTTTCTGTTTAAATGTGCATAGGATTGCACCGTTAGTATTCTTGTTCTTGTCGATTCTGCAAGACTTCCAAGAGGTGTGTGAGAAAGAAAGCCAGACTTCAGAGGCTTTGGCAGGTTTTCTTCATGGATGCAAGTTGCAGTGCAACAGCCTCCATCAGAAAAGAAAATGGTGAGATGCTTGGCCATTGGCAGAGCCTGATTAATGATCAAAGCGGTACCAGAAACCTAGTCTGAGATGGCTAGCTTGGCATTGATTGTACATAGATACAGCCATATCTGTAATCCAAGCAGTAGCTTTTGTCACAAAAAGCATAGAAATAGCTGTCAGTTGTTTCCATGTACAGCCTGGTCAACACTGAGGTTTCTGCATGCAGGCTGAATTGTACTCCAACAGAGCAGTTGGTTCACCTATGTGATTTATAAGGAACCATCAAATTAAAACTGGTTCTGAACACATCGTACAACAAAGCAACTCTGTAAAACAAGACCTGCATTTGTGCTATTTAAAAAGCACCCCATGTGATCTAATGTTTCCCTTTGTTTCTTGAATATTGCCTTTTTGTTGTTGATTATTGTCTCATTTTAGGAAAATGCCTGTGCTAGATGTATTCTGAAAGCCTGCATTTGCTGCCTTTGGTGTCTAGAAAAGTGCCTGACTTACTTAAATCAGGTAAGATTTTATATTGTCCTGGCATTCATTTTTAAAGGCTGGAAAGTTTAACCTCAGTACCTGTTGCAGTCAAAATTAAACCAGAGGATGAAATATTTCCCTCAGGTTGCCAATTTAGAAGTTAACCTTAAGGGCAGGCACAAATCCTTTCCTGAAATTAAAAGTACATAGTAATCACTCAGGTTCCTTGGCTATAAATACAATCAGTGTTTTAGGTGAGAAGCCATTGTGATGCAATTGAGTTTGCACAATGATTGTGTATGGGCATCACAGTGTGTGCTTACTGCAACAAGAATGAAAATACCTTAGATTTCTTTTTGGGGATGATTTTATATTTAAGCACCATGTAATTTACAAAGTGAACATGCATAATGGTTCCTCATTCCCTTCCTGCAAAGAATAGTGATGGGCCAACTGTAATCCCATGTATTTTGTAACGATTTCCTCTAAATGTTACACTGTGGTTTAGGAACATGTGAACAACTTCACACACACAGACACACACACACACCCAGGCTCATGTACACACATTCCTTCCCTTCTCCTCTTCCTGCATGGCAGGGAGAAAGAAGTTTGGAACTCTCATTTCTGTTTTTCTTAACCATCATTTTTGCGTCATCTGGTCTGACAAAGTATAGCTAACATTAACTGTGGCTAATTTCAAACCAGCCAGTTTTAAAATGTGGTTTCTGAAACTGGCTTGATTAAATTAACCAGAGTTAAATTAAATTACTGGCCTGGCATACTTGGCAAGTAAAGCCAGAAGCAGAAACTTCTAATCTCTTTCATTCCCTGGCTGAGAGACCTCTTAGGTAGCCCTGCCCAATGTGTGACCCACCCAGTGTATTATAGCCTACCACACATATGGCTGCCAGGTGCTTCACTATCCCTCCCCTGCTTTTCTAAATATAGACAGAAGAAATGACTAGTTCTGAGCACCCAGCTCCAGCCTGGGTGTTGGGGTGTGGCTGGCTTAAGCAGTTGCAAATTTCTTCTCTGAAGACTCCCACCCCTAGTTAAAATTGAGGCAGGAGACCTTCCCTTCCCTTCCCTTCCCTTCCCTTCCCTTCCCTTCCCTTCCCTTCCC